TTCAAACTTCTCTCTTTCACTCCTTCGCTCTTCTCCCCTTCCTCTCTCCCCACACCTCTCTCCCCACCCTCACTCACACACTCACTCTCCCACTCCCTTTCCTTTTCCCTCCGTCCCACACACTTTCCCTTTCCTTCCGTTCCTCCCTTTCGCCCTTTTCTCTTTCTTTTTTTAAAAAAAAATTTTTTTTTCGTGTCACTAATTAAAGTGACGCTTTATATTTTTTTTTTAACAGAGGTACCCGCTTACGCGGGTACCTCTGTTAAAAAAAAAGGCAAAACGTCAGCAAAATTAATTAGTGACCGGAAGTGCCAAATAGTAGAGTGTCAACAACGTTGAAACGTTGATAAATAAATAATATTAGTCCAAATAGATATTATTGCATTTTGTTACGCAACCTTCGTTCCTAATGTTTTACTTTGTTTCGTTAAATTACACAAATAGCTCTTTCTAATTTCGGTGTTGTGCATACCGTAAACTGATTTTTGGCCTATTAGTTCTCAAGTTGGGGGTTTGATACTCGTTATTGAATTCTTTTATTTTTTTCACATTTTCTTTTTCAATTAACTAAGTAAAAACAATATTTGAAATCTTCAATAATGGTACGATAGGTTAATATGAACTCAGAATCGTTGCTTAATCCAAAAAAGAGTATGTATTAAATTTTTAAAACTAAATTTTAATACTATATTTAACTGATCAACTATTATTTATTAAGGAGAAGCACCTGAACCAGTTGGGAGGCCTCTAAAGAGACTTAATCAGAATGATTATATATCTAATAATTTTAAGAGCGATGGTAAGTGCAAGACTGGTTGTTCTAATGTACTTATTAATATAATCCAACACTTTTCTAAGATTTGAGGAATGTTAAAGAAGATGAAAAAATTGACATGCTCATTAAAGATATAAAAAGAGATCCCTATTTTTCTGATGATAATTTAGAATTTATCAAGTTTGAGCATTTAAAAGATGTAGAATACCGATTAGAAGGTGGATTCAGTGTTCCGCATAGTGCTACTTGGGACAAAAATATTGTCACGGGCAGAATAAATCGTGACCACCAAAAACGTGACCTAAACGTCGATCGGGACCTGCATCGATACACGACCGACGATCGTGCATACAATGGCGATGCCCCGGATTTTGGCATTCATGATCAACCCAAAATTGGGTGAAACCCGCATACTTGGGTCTTATACAATCGTATTGAATTAAGAAAAGATAATGAAGTTTCAATACGGCGGATCTGGGCGGGTTGGTGTTAAAGAAAGAAAAGTCGGGTTAGTCAAAGTAGGATAATTAAAAATAGGAAACGTAGAAACGATTTATCCAAATCTAGTAAAACGGCAAAATAGTATGGTGGAGTCAATGAAAGTGGCGGAAAAGGGATTTAAGAGGAAAAGGAAAGGAATAAAATTAGCCGTAAAAACCAAAATGTATAAAAGCAAAAAGAAAATTTAATAAAGAACTTATCTTTCGTGCTCCTGAAATTTCAGTAAGGGCAAAGATCAGGTGTTAGTGATTTCGTTTAGGGAAAACCCAATAAACGACACAACACCTAATATTCTGATACTCGCCAAATCGTATCCCCGCCTCTATTCGAGCCTTCAGTTTGACGTAACGCGAGATTTCTGGCTCTTTAGCGACAGACTCGCCGTTTTCGCCCGCTTCAATTTACATGGAAGAATCTTGCTAGTGATTTAACTCTTTCAGGATCAAGTTGATTGTTAACAAGGCTTAATGAAGTTAGGGTGATGCTTTCTAAGATTACAATTTAATAATTTTAAGGAGACAATAGATGTGTTTTTACAAATTCTTTCTACAAATAAGGATTCTTTATAAACGTATCCTTCAAATTTAAATATCTGAGTCCTTTACTAGATCGTAAAAACATTAGAGCCAAAGAACACTAGACAGGACCTATTATTTCTCGGGTATTTCTAGTATAGTAATTTTCGATTCCTTTGTTTAAATAATGATAATCAACAGATGTGATATAACTTGTATAATCAAATAATAGATTCGTATTTTTTGGAAGGATTGTTGTATAAGTGGTTAATAGATCTTGTTCCTCAGTATTTAATACCGAAAGACATAACGTAACAAGTCTTTTATCTGCAAAATGAACACCTGGTTCGCTCCATAATATTGGTATAATAACTCTACACCATAGTCGGTTTACAAGAAGGCAGTAAAATAGGCTTAGATGATATGCAGAGGCATTCGTTTGGTAATGTCTTCATTATTTTTACCAGGAGCGGAGTGATATACCAGGAACGGAGTGATGCAAATCACGAAGTGTAAGGTTATATGGCAAATTAAATGACTACCCGATTAGGAAAATGGCCGATATTCGAATTCATAATATATCAAAGCAAGAACAAATGACCTGTTCGCATCCCTAATTGTTTCAAAATGAAGAAATATAATAATAAAGTAAAAAATTTAGGGCGATTATTTCAATAATTATGGAGATAAGTACGTACGTACGTACGTGTTTGCCTTACCAGCTATTTTCGGATACACTGCTCTATTTTAGAAGCTATCCTAAATTATTTGTTCGAAATTCTAAAAACCGAAAAAACCCTATCTGCCAACTTTAATGTATATAGTATAAACTACTAAAACTGAAAAGGAAAATTTGATTATTCTGATCCAAAGTCAGTTTATTCTTTCTATAAATAAAATTGATAGGCATCATTGGTCGTAATTTATCATAACAATGCTCGCCGTGTATATATAAGCTAAAAGTCATGTGAAAACAGGCGCTCCCAATAAATGTTACTGTTAGTTTTTAATATATATTTCAAAATTAATTTTGCATGCTATGATTATTAAAATTTAAAAGAAACTATACTGATGCAATTAATGAAACTATAATAATATTATATGAGTGCGTGAGAGTGAAAACCAGGAAATAAAATCTGACCAATCATAAATTTTATTTCCTGATTTTCACTCTCACATAAACTCATAATACTAATTATTCATTATATAAATCATTATAAATACCAATTTTTTTTTATAAATATTATATATATATATTTAAAAAATATAAAATGTGGCACATTGTATCACGTGTGGTTAGGGTAGAGTGATCAATACTCTAGTAAATCAAACAATAGTATGAGCGGATTTTTTAAAGGTTAATTTCACATACATGAATTCGCACTGATTTAGGTCCACTTTTTTTTACCTAACCAATATACAAAATTGCATCGCATTTTTTCTTAAGCTATAGTTCTAGACTAGTTCTATACTGCAATAGAACCATTTTTACAATAGCTCTTCATAAAATTATAATTTTTTTAAAAAAAAAGTTATTACAAAACTGGCTCTATTACGGCATAGAGCTAGTCTAGAACTGTAGTTTAAAAATACGATGTAATTTTGTATATTAGTTAGGTAAAAAGGTGGACCTAAATCAGTGCGAATTCATGTATGTGAAATTAACCTTTAAAAAATCCGGCCATAATAATTAATCATATAGTATATAACTATTGTTAGATTTATTAGAGTGTTTATCACCCTAACGTGTGTTGCTAGTATTAAATTACAAGTGAATGAGGTTTGTACGTAACAATTAATTTTTAGAATTACGTTCGATACGTACAAGAGGCTAACAAAACATACGTAATTGTAATATGGGGCTGCGTCAATTAAAACAAGGCTTTTTTTCTATTTTGAGAATGACAATCTATTATTAGTATAACCTGTTGGATCGACATATTCTAGCCAATCACACTAATCCTTTTCTATGACTCTGCAGCAGGGCTAAAACGACATATAGTAAATACCGGACATTTAATAAGTGTCGTTCTTGATTCACGGTATATTCAAATTTTATTGGCTAAAAAAGTAATTTAATGCGATATTGCATGCATATGATATAATTACTGCATTAATAAAAATATTTAAGTACATCTATATAAAATAAAATACATTTCGTTATATATCTATATAAATTTAAATACGCTTCGTCATATCATAAATTTTACATCAAGAACGATACTTTAGACAATGGGCGGTGGCACAGTAAATGTCCGGTATTTACTATATGTCGTTTTAGCCCTGCTCTGCAGCAGAAATGATATCCTCATTTTTGTAAAAAATGCAAACGGATAGGCCTTGTTTTAATTGACGCATCCCCATATTGTATATTTGTTACGTCAAAGTTACGATAGTCAATGCACATGCTAATCAATCAGATCTCATAAGGATACAATTATCGTGAGAAAAAAATCGACATATTGTTATACCAATCTGCCTGTGATGTACAACAATATTGCTATTATTAGTCAAGATATTTTTTTTATCGTTAAGAATGAACACACTCGTGACGGCCAGTAATTTTATTATATTTTGATTGATTGATTGATTGATTGATTTTAGCTAAATTAATTATTTTTTTCTCGTCCCGAAATAAAGCTCTGGGTGTTATTTCGCGTAAGTACAGTATTTTTTTTTAGAATTATTATAAACCATTTTTAGAGTTTTTAGACAAATTTTCACCTTTTTTATTACCATATTATTATTTATTATTTATTTTCACAACGACAAGGTTTAAGCAGTGCATGTGATTTAAACGTAGCACAAGTTGTAACGTTTCACGAAATTCGGATATATATATAGATTTATTTAAACATAATCCATTTGAATAAAATATGACGAAATTACCGAACGAATGCCTTTTAGAAATATTTAGCAATCTTAGAACTCATCACAAAAGCCTATTTTCATGCCTTCTTGTAAACCGACTATGGTGTAGAATTATTGTACCACTATTATGGAGTGATCCAGGTGTCTACTTTAAAGATCAAAAACTTGTACGAATATGTCTTTTAGCATTAAACGCTGAAGAACAAACTCTATTAATCCCTTTTAAAATAATCCTTCCGGAAAATACAAATCCATTATTTGATTATACAAGTTATATTACATCTGTCGATTATTATTATTTAAACAAAGGGATTGAAAGTTTTTATAATGAATCAATATATGGAATTTATGGAAATCGTATTATGATAAGTGCTATCAAGTGTTCTTTGGCTCTAATGTTTTTACGATCTGGTAAACTTAAATGTTTAAATTTTACTGGAAAAATTTATAATGAATTAATATTCATAGAAAAGCTTTGTAAAAACACTTCTGTTGACTCTTTAAGATTCTCAAATTGTTATCTTAACGATAAAACTTTAGATGATATTTTCAAAAAAATAACCATCCTGACTTCATTAAATCTTAGTAGCAATCAACTTGATCCTGAGATGATTAATGCACTAGCGAGGACTCTCTGTGAAAATAATACAACTCTGATTTCTTTAGATCTTTCTAAAAATCAACTTTATTCTGAGGGTGGAAAAGCGTTAGCGAAAGTCCTCTGTAAAAATAACACCATAACTTCATTATATATTGGTTGTGGTATGCTTACTTATCAGGGTGGGAAAGCATTGGCGGAAGCTCTTTGTATAAATACTACTCTAACTTCTTTGGATCTTTATCAAAATATGCTTGGTTCTATAGGCGGGAAAGCGTTAGCGGAAGCTTTATTCAAGAATTCTACTCTGACTTCTTTGAATCTTGGAAGTAATCTACTTGATCATGAAGCAGGAAAAGCATTGGCGGAAGCCCTTTATGTAAATACTTCTTTGACCTCTTTGGATCTTTCCTATAATCGACTTGGTTCCGAGAGTGGGAAAGTATTAGCGAAGGTTCTATGTACGAATACCACTCTGACTTCTTTAAATCTTTACCGTAGTAGACTTGGTTCTGAGGGTGGAAAGGCATTAGCGGAATCTCTAGGCTATAACACAACTCTGACCTCTTTGAATGTTGGCAATAATCAATTTGGTTCTGAAACAGGAAAAATATTAGCGAAGGTTCTATGTATGAATACTACTCTGACTTCTTTAAACCTTTACCGTAATAAACTTGATTTTGAGGGTGGAAAAGCGTTGGCGGAGGCTATACGCAAGAATACAGCTTTGACTTCTTTGAATCTTGGCAAAAATCAATTTGGTCCTAAAGCAGGGAAAACATTAGCGGAGGCTCTTCGTGTAAATACGACTTTGACTTCATTAGATCTTTCCGAGAATGAACTTGGTTCTGAGGGTGGGAAAGCGTTAGCAGAGGCTCTATGCAAGAATACTAAACTAACTACATTGAGTCTTAGCAATAATCGTTTTGAATAAGAAACAGCGACAGCATTAGCAGAGGCCCTTTGTACAAATACTACTTTAACTTCTTTGGATTTTTCCCATAATCGACTTGGTTCTGAGGGTGGGAAAGCATTTGCAAAAGTTCTTTGTAAAAATACTTCTTTGAATTTTATATTTCTTAGGGTTGGTCCTGAGGGAAAGAATGCATTAATGGATGCACTTCGTAATAACACTATTTGATATCCCCGCATTATCCCTATAATTTTGATGTCAAGATTAATCCGCTTTGTCGTGTTATATTCTATCAAATTGAAAGAAAATTATTATATTCTGTATCATGTCTTATTCTTGCATGTAATTTACTGCTAAAATTAAATAAAGCGAAGTAAATGTTTTCTTGCTTTAATTTACGAAATTCAAAAATGCCCAATATCAATTAAACTAATCCTGATTTAGGTTTAACGTTTAGAAATTGGTAATAAAAATGTTTTTGTATTAAAATAAAAAAATCAATTTTTGTATAATTTTTACTATCTCAGGCTTCTTTTTTTTTTTTGATTTGTCCTTTCGATCCTGAATTTTAATTAATTTACTAAATTACTATTGTTATGAAATTTTCCGATAATGACTGCATTTTTCAAGCAAGCAATCATCAATACTAAATTTCATGGTAATTTACCGATATATCGCGATTACTTTGACGTCAAATTACTGCTAATAACTCTGGTAAAAATATAAAAATTTCGAAAAGAAAATTGATGAAAATAAAAATACGAGCAAGTTTGAGATCAAAATGGTAAATCTCTGAGATTTTCCGCAGGTTAAAAAAAAAAAACGTAGGATAATATAGCTACCTCGCATTTAATATGAAAGCTGCGAATGCTGCGCAGTCTGCGTAGTAGAATCAAAATTTTTACTTAATCAAGAGTTTGTACGAATTTTTTTAATGGTTAAAATATAATAAATTTTTTTAAAGAAGAATTTCATTGTTATTTTTTAAAAAATAAATTACTTTATAACGATTATTTTGAAATAGTATGCAATAACTACAACCCATAAAATGTCACGCTTTGCTGGTTTAGGTACTCAAGTTGAATGCGTTATAAACATTGTAAAAACATTTTTAACTATATTTTAGACTCAATTATTTGAATTCTTAAATTAAAATTTTACTTTATTAAATTCGCACACGGAAACTAGTACAAGTTACAATGTTTCACAAATCCATATACAGTATAAATAAATGCAACGGTCAGCAGTATTAAAAATTCTTAATTTCACCCTTTTTAAATAAAACATGAATACATTACCGAAAGAATTCCTTTATGAAATATTTAATAATCTTCGAAATCTTCAAAAATATCATAAATACTTATTTTCATGCCTTCTTGTAAACCGTCTATGGTGTAGAATTATTATACCAATATTATGGAGCGAACCAGATGTTCGCTTTAAAGATAAAAGGCTTGTAAAAATATGCCTATTGGCATTAAATGTTGAGGAACAAGCTTTATTAATCCCTTTTAATCTAACGCTTCCAAAAAATATAAAACCATTATTTGATTATACTAGTTATATTACATCTGTTGATTATTTTTATTTAAACAAAGGAATTAGGAATTATGTTAATGTAACTTATGGAAATCGAATAAATGCTGTCAGGTGTTCTTGGCTCTTATGTTTTTACGATCTAGTGAAAACCTTAAGCATTTAAATTTTGATGGAACAATCTATAATCAATCTATATTTGTAGAAAGGCTTTGTAAAAACACTACAATTACTTTCTTAAAATTTACGAATTGTCGTCTTAAAGGTAAAGCTTTGGATGATATTATCAACAAAACTATCACTCTGACTTCATTAGGACTTAGTGACAATTATCTTAGTTTTGAGAGGGTTAAAGCGCCAGCAAGAATTCTTTGTGGAAATAATACAACTTTAACTTTTCTAGACATTTCTAGTAGCCTAATTTATTGTGAAGGAGGAAGAGCATTAGCGGAAGTCCTCTACAAAAATACCACTATGACTTCATTAGATCTTAGATTGAATAGGCTCGGTTGTGAAGGTGGAAAGGCATTAGAAGAGGCTTTATGCAAGAATACAAATCTAACTTCTTTAAATCTTCTCTAATTATCTTGGTTCTGAGGGTGGAAAAGCGTTAGCAAAAGCTCTGTGTAAGAATCATACTCTGACTTCTTTGAATATTGGAAAGAATCAACTTGGTTCTGAAGCAGGGAAAGCATTTGCAGAGTCTCTTTATGTAAATACTGCTTTGACTTCTTTGGATCTTTCCTTTAATCGATTTAGTTCTGAGTGTGGGAAAGCGTTAGCAGAGGCTCTATGCAAGAATACTACTCTAACTTCTTTAAATCTTTCCAATAATGAACTTGGTTATGAGGGTGTGAAAGCATTAGCGGAGGCTTTATGCAAGAATACAACTTTGACTTCTTTAAATCTTGGATATAATCAAATTAATTCTGAAGCGGGGAAAACATTGGCAGAGTCCCTTTATATTAATACTGCTTTGACTTTTTTGGATATTTCCTTTAATTGTCTTTGTACTAAGGGTGGAAAAGCGTTATCAGAGGCTCTGTGCAAGAATACAACTCTAACTTCTTTAAAACTTCTCTCTAATCATCTTGGTTCTGTAGGTGGAAAAGCGTTAGCAGAGGCTCTATGCAAGAATACAACTCTAACTTCTTTAAATCTTCAATCTAATTATCTTTGTTCTGAAGGCGGAAAGGCGTTAGCAGAAGCTCTATGCAAGAATTCTACACTTACTTCCTTAGATATTCGCTCTAATGATATTGGTTCTGAGGGTGGGAAAGCGTTAGCAGAGGCTTTATGCAATAATACTACTCTGACTTCTTTGAAATTCGATTCTAATAGCTTTGGTTCTGACGTAGAGAAAACATTAGAAGAGGCCCTATATAGAAATAATACTTTGTGTTCTGAGGGCAGGAAAATGTTGTCAGAAGCGCTATGTAAAAATTCAACTCTGACATCTTTTGAAACTTGACAATAACTAATCTATTTCATAATTAATTTGATTCTGAGGATAAAAAGTAAAAGTCCTTCATAAAAGTGGTATTCTGTCTTTTACTTTTGTCTCTAAATAATTGTCACGGCTGATGCTGAAATTTTGACCTTATTTTATTATGAAATTTTAAAATTTTTTGGGTCTTTTTAGGGTTTGTGTTGTTAATAAAAGACATTTTCATAATTAAATTTCTTGTTTCACTTGTTGATAATAATTATCATATTTTGGGGTTATCGTAAAGAAAAACGAAAGGGATATTGGATAAAATACGCATATCTTAATTTATCAGTCTGTTTAGTTATCAGAATAAAAGTAATTGTTGCGTGAATATATATAAAGATTCAATACATGGTATATATTTAGAATTAGCTGATTCTATTTACTTTATTTATTAATTTTATGAAATTAATTTATTAAAGGCTAAACAAAGAAGATACAAAACTCCTGTGGTTCGTGCTCGCTGATCTAAAATGATTTTTTTAGCAACAAAATAGAAATCTTAGAATCCTTACGGAAATATCATCATCAATAAAAAATAATTTTCCGATATATATTTAATGTGTAAAAACCTTATTTCAGATTGTGTTTTGATACCATCAATTATTTCCAATAGCAATTCAGTTTTTTATGGCGTTAAACCTAAAGCTTGGACGAATGATGAAATTATAATAGATATAGCAAAAGATCAATCAGACTTTGATCTAAAAGATAATAAAGATGAGGATTCTGATGACGAGATTGATGAAAGTGATAATATAACAGAACAAACTACTCAAGATACTGTCCTCAAATGGTGCATAATCTACACTGACGGAAGAAAATCTATGACTAGTGAAGCTGATAATTTACTAATTCATTTGGTGATTATTTCAACGACGGTATGGAACATTTGGAAGATGATTATGAACGTTTTTTACCTCGGCTGACGTTAGAAGAAGCAAGTAATTTTAAAATGGTAATTTGCTAGCAACATGGAATACCTTCACAAACTATGCCGAAGAGGTGACCATGTTGCACATTATTAGATTAGATTTACCTACAATAAGATATTTTAATGGCTTCTAGTGTTTTTTTGAAAAGATTTTACGAAGAAGCTGCTGAAGAGTTTGCCAAATATGCTGTAACAAACATACAATTACGCTTTATAAAAAATCTACATTCTGGCTATTATAAAGCACTGGTATTGGTCTTTATTCAGGACAAGGTGTCGTCCAAGATAAGGCGAAGGTTAAGCATTATTTTATATCAGCTGCAATGAACAATAATTATAATGCAATGTATAACTCGGGAATCTTTTTGATATTGAATGATAGGGATGTTAAATTACAAGTCCGATCCTAGGACCACCGTCCTGGACTCAAATCCTTAATTCACGTGAAAGTGCAATACATTCATACAGGATTCAGATCCTGAATTGGATCTTCTGAAAGAGTTTATCAATCAATTTAATTATCCTATATATGTAATGTATTATGTTTTCACGTGATTTAAGGATCGAATCCTTGAAAGGATCTGCCAGGATCGGTTAGGACTCGATTGTAAAGGGCCGATTAACATCCCTATTGAATGGGAAGTAGCAATGAAAGAAGGAAGGGGAAAAATGGCTGATTGATGCTGCCGAAAACAAACATCAAAAGGCTATAGATTATTACTTATTATTAGTTAGCGCTTAATTCGGGTAATTTCGGTTGTATTGATATTTTATTCAGGTAATTGATCTTCCTCGAATTTTGGTTTCTTTAGTAATTTTGAGTTCATAAATCTCAACAAATCGTATATATGCGCAATAGCTGTGCGTCGAAGCGCTGCGCTAGCTAAATTGCGCTCAAAAATTTTCGTTTATCGAACAGCAGTCATATATATATATAATACCAAATAAAATTTATTGCATACATCTATCACTAAACCAGAAAATAATCGCTTAACTTTTTTAGGAAAATAGAACAACTATCTCTATTTTTATTCTTAAAGACTTTTCCGTTTATTGTCTTTACTATTTTTAATTTATTTTTTAAAATTCTCACGGGAAACCCTAATTTTTGAATAAGAACTTTAATTTATTGTTGTTACGTATTATTATTAGTGCTTAGAAATAATTGTTAACGTCTGGTGTTACGCACAAATTTCAACCGATTGTTAGATACTCTATATATCTATATTAGCGCTAGCAATAGCAGCGTTTCGAAGAACTGCGTTGCGCTAGCGAAATAGCGCTCAAATTTTTTCACTTGTCGAACATATATGTGATGACAGTAAATGGTATTAAAAAGGGAAATAAAAGAAAAATAATCTCTCTCAATTTGCATACTATGAAATTACCAATTTAGAAAATGATCCGAATAAACTTCATTATTATCTTAATTTATTTGATTGAAATTTTAGTAATTGATGCTTCTAGAGTTTTACATTAATGGCAAAATATAGACCATTTATGCAAACTTACTGATAATTTTTTTATCATTTTCATAATTTCTGAAACACTTAATTTTCTGAATGATTTTTTTAGCTGATTTTTGATTATGGGTATTCTCAAGCATTTCATTCAATTATTGCGGTTTGCAAAAAAATTTGCAGATCAAAAAAAAAAAAAGAAATCGATAATTTCTGATTGCTGATTTTTTTAACATTACTTCTGATGATGTATGTATATCAACTCAACTAATATCATTCCATATAAAAGTCTTATATATATTTATTTAGCATACATTTTTTTTAAAAAAAATTCTTTTCTAATGACTAAAATTATTATCCCGGAGCATGCTTTACAAATGTCTTTTTTATCAACTTCTAATAATCCTTATAAGATTGAATTTAGTGTAGCTTTTAAATTTTCTTCTTGCTTATCATGCAATAGTAAATTTTGTCGGGCTAGAAAAGAAGCAAAATTTAATATTACACAATCAAGTTCTTTACAACATGAAGAGTATGCAAAATATATTCCTACAAAAGATGTTAAATCAAAATATGTTACAAAATTATGAATCTACAACTTTTATTTCTGCAAAAAAATGGTAAAAAAATCGGTAATCAGATTCAGAAATCATCGTTTACTTTTTTTTTTGATCTGCAAATTTCACATTTTTTTGCAAACAGCAATAATAATTATTAATAAAGAATAATCATGTAACACTCAAGTATCACAATCAATGACGAAATTTATAGAATTAAATGCTTGAGCGTACTCTTTCTATTTTTTATACCCTGGTGTCACGTTTAAATTATATTTGATTAAAATTTTATTTTTTGATTTGAAAAATTGATTTATTGACAATATTATTAAATCAGAGTATTAAACAATCAAAATTGTCAAATATGACTTGGTCGACTCATATGCACTCGAAGGTGATTACATTATCTTCTTACATTTGAGATTGTTGAATAATGAAACGTTTTACTAAGTTAGCCTGTTTTAGTAAATTATAAATTTCGATTTTTATTACAACTTTGTATCGGGATATTAACGGAATAAAATTTAAAAAATTCGAGATAGTAAATATGTATTGAAATAAATTTTTTATATATAAAGCCTGTTATTATATCTTATATAAAGCTTTTTTTTTCTTAAATCTCAACCTAAATCAAAATTAGTTGAATCGGAAACTTGAATAGTTTGCTCCCACAGCTCTAGCCAATAAAACATATTCGAAAATAAATAATATATTTGTATCAATTCAAAATGATATTATGGAATACAATGCGACGAAGCGACAAACATTGCAGTAAATTAATTTTAGCGTCAGCTATAGGGATAATGGGATATCAGAATAATGTCAGAGTAATGTTATCATAAGTACTTTCGTCAATGCATTCCTTTCCTCCATGACCAGCTCAATGATTAAAGACAAAAGTAAAATCGCAATTGAATTCTTGCTTCTGCTAACGATTTTCACCCTCAGAACATATTAAAAGCAAGATTCAAGGAAGTCAAAGTATTATTTTATATGTAGGGCCTTTAATAATGTTTTCTCTACGTCAGGACCAATGTCATTATTATTAAAATATAAAGAATACAGAGAAGTATTTTTGTATAGAGATTCCGCTAACGCTTTCCCACCCTCGGAGCCAAGTTTATTATGACTAAGATTTAAATAAAGTGACTCTGAAAATGCTTTACCTGCTTCAAAGCTAAGATGATTACCTCCAAGATTTAAAGAAGTCAAAGTTGTATTCTTGCATAAAGCTTCCGCTAACGCTTTGACGCATTCCGTACCAAGTTCATTACAGTAAAGATCTAAAGAATTTAGAGTAGTATTTATGTAAAGGGTTTCTGCTAATGCTTTTCCACCTTCGCAACCGAGCTTATTAACACTAAGATTTAATGAAGTTATGGTGGTATTTTATAAAGAACTTCTGCCAATACTTTTCCTCCTTCGGGATAAAGTTGGTTATTAAAAATAGTTAAGAAGTTAGAGTTGTATTGTTTGCATATAAAGTCTCTACTAGTGCTTTAGCTCTCTTAGGACCAAATTGATTGTTACTAAGGTTTAATGAAGTCAGAGTGATGCTTTTATTGAGAATTTTAGCTAAAGTATCATCTCTAAGATAACAATTTGATACTTCTAAGGAGGTAATAGATTGTTTTTACAAAGCCTTTCTATAAATAATGTTTGATTATAAATGCCTCGATCAAATTTTAAATATTTAAGTCCTTTACTAGATCGTAAAAACATTAGAGCTAAAGAACAATTGGCGGCACTTATTATGCTATAATTAGAAGATATCAATCTATACTCATATTTCTTAATACCTTCGTTTAAATAATAATAATTGACAGATGTAATATAAGTCGTATAATTAAATAATGGCCTTGGATTTTTTGGAAGGGTAATATTAAAAGGGATTAATAAGGCTTGTTCTTCAACATTCAATGCTGAAAGACATATCTTTACAAATCTTTTATCTTGAACGTGAACACCTGGTTCACTCCATAATATTGGTACAATCATTCTACACCATAATCGGTTTACAAGAAGGCAAGAAAATAAGCTTTTATTATATACTCGAAGTTTATTGAATATTTCGTAAATGCATTCGTTCGGTAATATTTCAATGTTTTTTTAATTGATTATCGTTAGAAGTTTTGAATATCACCGACTTTAGTACCATTAGAAAGTTTGTGCACTTTGGTTTTGACAAGGGTTTTTAGTATGTCTGTCAAGACACTATAATTTAAGTCTGTTTTCTGCTTTAATTCTTCAAAGTACAGTATATGTTGTATTTTTGTTATATTGCTAAAGAGTGCCCATACTTCTATTTATATTTTAATGGCGTAAAACATCATAGTTTGTGTTAAGTTAAACCATGCGTATACACAACTAAAAAAGCATCAATGATTTTCTACGCAGAAAGTTATTTAAAATTTAATAAATATTGATAAACTTTAAATGATTAAGACTAAAAAAAGATTATAAGCACAAAAAATGTCTGAGCTTTATTTCGAGACACTGTTTAAAGAGATAAAAAAAAAAAACATAATTCAATTCTATAACTTGCTTTAATTGACAATCAAACACCCCTTTAGTATATGCCTATCTTTTTAAAAAACAAGCTATTATTAATAATAATTAAACTAGCCAATTTGAGTCTTTATCGAATTTATTTGAGAGGTATTTAAAAGCTCAAATTTATAATTAATTCTCTTTATACAGTATTTTATTTCTGAGTTAACACCCCGAAGTGTTAATTTGTGCAAATAAGATAATCAGTGCTTAAACTTTTTTTAAAGCGTTAATATTATCAAGAAATTGCTTTATTGTAGTAAAACAGTTAACACTAAATCCAGAAGCCTAGGTATTTTCTTTTTGTTATATTGCATTTACCAGTTTTGAATTTTACTAAGAAGTAATTTCGTTATTTATTTTAGGTATTTAAAATGGTAAGATAACGATAATAATATGATTATTACCTGCACTATGGTGCACCAACCTGGTAAAAATTTTCTAGGTGCATGTTTTTACCACATTAAAATTATTTACGAAACTAGTACGTACGACATTTTATAGTTGG